AAGTCCCAATTTTTCTCGCACCTTAAAATATTATAACTCGTCAAGAACATTGTTTCGCAGAGTTTTCGATGTGCTCATGCACTACACGCTTCCCTTATCCGATGAGCATAAAAAGACATTTTTTTGAAAAGAGCAGAAAATTTATATTCGTCTTGAGCCGAATTTTTGATATTTTCCTAATCAAAATGCATACATGAAAAATATGAAACATAAGGATGGCAGCATGATTGGTCGAAATTTTTTATATTCACTATTGGAAATGGAGTATATTCAGTTTGTCAAAATGCTTATTGCACAAGGATGCTGAGTTCCTATCCCAATTATTGCAATTGTTAAATTCTAAATTTTACCTTAATCGCAAGTATATCTTTTATGAGATCTCTTTCTCCTCCTCCTCTGACACTTAGCTGCTACGAACCTAAAGGCGGACTTGGTCTGCGGTAGTGTCGATGAAAAAAAAGTTTAAAGATCTTTTTACGCCGATGTTATTAAATCTATTTATTGTTCCTAAAATTTAAGGGAACAAAAGAATTAATTTTCCACTCCCTTTATAAATTACGCAAATTTTCCAAATTTATAGGGAATATCAAGTGGCTATGCTGTAGATACGATTTTAGCATTAATATTTTTCTTCACTGTGTTAAGTAAATTTTAGGAGGTTTTAAGATTTAAGAGGCGGACATATCCTTTAAGCTAATTTATAATATTTTTGTTAATACATCGGGAACCGCGATAATATATATTTGCGAAAAAAACTTAAGTCTCTTACAAGGTGGCTTCGCTTGACTTTGTTTTACTTCCGTAGCTATCATTTCTCCTTGAAAGGAAATATTTTGTGCCAATTAAGGGAAATAAAGGGAATTTCCTGAGGGAGCTGACGGAGTAGTGAGTATTGGTTTAAGCGGTGATTTTACTTCAATCCTAATTGACCTTACTTTGGAAGCGGTAAACTAAACCTTTTTTGTTCATGATTCCGAATGCTTTTTTTTTTTGCTTTCAGTTCCAATCATTTCTGTTGTCAATCAAATGAAAACTTCTTATCAATCCACACGGGGAGGAGACAAAACGCGATTGTGTAGCTTTAAGATATTACTTTGCCTCGTTCGCTTTTTAAGGGAAATATTGCAACTTTTCAATTTCTCAACAAAAATGAATTTTATTTTGCTCCAACATAATTACGGTAAACTCACATTGTTCCCTATTGCAGTGGACTAAAAAGTGTTTGTAGTTAAGTTCCTTAATTATTTAATGAGTGTACCTAAATTGGTTGTACAACTATCATTACAATAAAGTGGCATATTAATTGCATCATTCTGTTTGTCGCGACTCCAGCACCCAGGAAATCGTTTTGTTGTTTTATCATAGTGAATTATTGTTTGTCATATCAGTCCATCTAATAATCTTGCGATTGCTTGAATTTTTAACGCTCGGAATTGATGAAAAGAAAGCTTTAATTATGTATATATTTCCCTTTTAAAAGTGATCGGCAGAAAAAACTAAGTTTTCAATATATTTTCAATAATAATTTATGAGCTGGGACGATAAGTCGCTTGCTTATCATATTAATACGCGGAGATTTTGGAGTAGTATGCTCGTCTGAAGGTGAGCACCGCGTCGTTGCTATTGTAACGAAATTTTAAAATAAACTGATCCCGAAAAGAGAAAACCACAGAGCACAACAACTAACCATTATAAGGATGTTTATGAATGTACAATAGAAGGACACATGTACATATATATGCTACTTATCATTATTATTTGATTATTTTACTCTTGAATGGACGCAAACAAATGCGTGTTTATCCTCAGTAAGACATGGAAGCAATGTTTAATTTACAATGGATTTTCATTCATGTTTGGCAGATATTTCAAATATTGTTCTATAGGCATTACTATGGCTACCTAAACTAGCATTTACGTATTTATACAATTTTCAAATGATTAATGTTTAATGAATTAGAGGATTACAAGGAATACAAGGAATACTGGACATAGAGCGATGTGCTGCAACCAAATCGGATTTGTGTTGTTTGCTTGTTATCTTTTTTTTCCTTTTTTTTTTTTTTATAAAGGATTCGAATCGATAATTTACAGTTACCATAAGCAAACTCCCACGCAAATACAAGCGTTCATTTAAAAAGGCATTACATAGATTATAATGCTGTGAACTGAAGTGATTGAAGTGTTTATGCTTCTGCCAAGCCATCTGCTTGCACCCGTTTGTACTTAGCCGCAGCAGATCGTGCACAAAAGAGTTTGGAATTTAGGACCTTAAACACAAATGTTACGTAAACAGTGCTGTTTCATATTGGACTTGTAAACTGGACAATATTCGCATATAATATACATTTGTCTGTCTGGATTCACAAATAATTATTATTACAATTTCTAAGAATTATATAAAGTTGCAGAGCTGAAACGGTTACTCAGAGATTCGTACTGGCTTTTCATTATCGCACCGAGTAGCCATACAAAATTTCCGAATTGATGCAGTACAAGGGAAGATTTAAGATCACCATCTCGTTTGGACAAACCTTGTTATCGGCGAAAGCTTTGATCATATAGCGTTCGTTCTTGCATAAATTGTAAATAGCTTTACTCCCTCCAGTGCTCGTTAATATGCTTATAACATATTTTTATAAACGTTATTTAAGCAACTTGGCTTTGTTTCTAGCAAGCAAACATCCCTTATATATATTTATTCGTATGGCTCCTATTATAAGATAAGTACTTTCTCCCTTTGTGTTGGGAAATTCCCTTTTGATAACCTTTCGGTATGAGATCGCTGACATATTTTCTGGATTTAGATTTACATCAATAAAAAGAGAATAAAACAAAAGCGCGTAACCATCTTTTTGGCCGATGACATACCGTTGGCGGTTTACTTTTCACTTCAGGTAAACAAAACTGATCAAAATGATTCGTTGTCGCGAAAAAATATATATGTACTTCCTCAATGAATATTGCTAGAAAAAGATTTGTCAGGTTATTTTATAGCCATCTCTACCAGAACGAAATAAGCTTCTTTTATTAAGTCAGGAAAAATTCCCCTTTTGTCACGTCCGTACTTCCAGAGAAACAACTGCTGTTTGCTGTTACAAAGAACATATGTCGCAAACTTACGCAAAAATATTATCAGTCTACGGAGAGAAAGCAACCTAAGTCATTTAGGAAGTTTTTCATGTAGCTTAGATTTCATCATAGTTGGACAATATTTCAATATTTTTCAATAATTTCCGTTTCTTATTTGAAATTTATTTTATTCGTGCTGCGAACTCATCTATAATTTGAATAGACCTAATGTAAATATAACATAGAATACCTGCTTCGACTTAACACTCTTATTTCCCTTTCTTAGAAGTTAGACAAACTAGCGTTTCATGAACTTTAGCCCTGCTTGCATGGTTGCGTAATCCCTACATTACAAGTATATAGGAAGAGTTTTATTTAAATTTACTGTGCACATGCATAATGTACAAGTCCTTTATCAACAGATTTTACTTGAATACGATCTAAATCTGCCGATTCAGATCCACTTAAATGGCCATTCATGCACTTTAACTCATCAATTCCGAAATTTATGATAACTTTGAAAGCAAAAAATAAATAAATTCAAAACCGAAATGAAACTATATAGAATACTTAGACATTAGAAGCAAAAAAACAGAAGAAAAAGAAGAAGAAGAAGAAGGAGCAGAAATTATATTTTAATAATGCTAAGGATTATGGCCACGAGGTGCATATTTATGTATAATTGTGTACATACGTTTATTTGTATGTATTGTGTATACATTGTACATACATTTTAATGCCTAACTGACTGCCTTTTCAGTAAGGTATGTGAATATATCGATGCATTTGTGAAAGACACACCTAAGCGTATCATAGCGTAGTAACAATAACAACAATCATGGCAGAGGCATATGCCTGGTAATCGTTGCTTCACCAGACAAATGAATGTTAAAAATGTGTCTTTTTATGCTATGGATACACCTTCTGATAGTTTATGTATGAAGCGACATTTACATGAAAAATCTTACAAAAAGACAATTCTTGCTGTGCCACTCAGCCATTGCTTAATAAATATTTTAAGACTTCTATATATATATATATATATATATATATGCACTGTGCGGGAAAGATTGTTGAAAGCAAAAAGACTCACTCTCTGTATTTACAGCCGTACGTACATATTTACATTTTTTAGATATTATTATGTACATGTGCATGTGTACCCGGAGCCCGGAGTGTGTGTTGAATGTTCTTTTCAATCAATTGTCAGGCCATCTCTTTCCGGCGCATGCAACATCATAAATATTTAAAGAAGGCGTGTTTGTTACAAAACATCATTATTATTATTACGACAGGGACACTTTTGTTACTCTCCACGTTTCTATCTTCGTGAAAGTTAAAGTGTTTACATAAGTCTGAAGTAGACTAACTACCTGCCCAGCTGCGTATACATAAAAAGTCTGGAATATTTATACATCCAGAATGCCTTCTTCTGCTCGGGTTTTTTTTTTCTTTTTCTCTGATTTATTTCCTCTCATCCTATTTACACAATAAGCATTAAAAATGGGGGCCATTTCTCATATTTTCTCTTTTCTTCCTACTATTCCATTCTCTTTCTGATTTGTATCGATGTATAGGTGAACATTTACTTAAATTGCTATTCTAGGGGTTGTAAATCTCGTTTGCGTGAGAAATTTACTTATTTCTCTCTGTCTTTCTCTCTCTCGCTCTGTCACTCTCACTCACTCACGTTCTCTCTCTCTCTCTATCTCTCTTTGTTTTTGTCTCTCTTTCCCTTCATTATATCCTTGATTTGTTGAGTCTTTAAAGCAAAAAAAGAAAAAAAACACCCCCCCCCCCCCCCATTACTGCACGTAAAAGCGGTGAGCGTTGAGGAGAGCGTACTAAGAGGTGTCTTTTTTCGTAAAACTTTTCATATTTTTTAAACATCGTTCACATCTCAAACACATTTCATTCATATCCAAACTTAAGCTACGGCCTCCGAATTATAAGTGCGTGTGTTGCGTGCTCGTCGTTCTTGTTAACAGACATTAGAAAATCATTTGGCGACGGGCATTTGTGCAAAAGAAAAAATACCTAATGTTAATAATAATAATGGCCGTGTGTTCATCTAACAATCAAGAAAATTGGCTTTAGAAACAAATAAACAAAAAAAAAAAAAGAACATTATTTTAAGCGTACATTTGTGCGTTAGTTGAAGAAGAAAAACGTGAAAAAGCAAAAGTCTCCTAATGCTCGAACAAAAACTCGAGATTTCGATTTTGCCGCGACTTATTTAGATTAAAAACCAATTACATCTTCGTGGAGCTGCACAAAATATGGTTTACTTCGTATGTACAAAAAATAATTTTCATTTATGATTAATATTTGAAATCGTATCGATTTTTAAGTTCAAATAATTGTGTGTGTGTGTGTGCGCGTATATCTTTGTTTCTTGGTTTATTCTGTTAAGTTTAAGAAAGATATCAGAGAACATGGACTCCACAAATTTTATGCAGATGTAGTTCAAGTGAAGATTTTAATATTCTTCGACATTCCTGTTGGCCTTTTCGCCGTCTTTCCGTTCACTGAGTCTTATTGGTTTCAAATTCTCCGCAATGTGGCTAGAAGATTAAAGCGTTGTTTTTATTTCTTTGTATTGGCGAATTAAATTTTACGTAGTTAGGCTAGTGTTAAACCATACGACGGCAGAATCACTCAATTGATATGCAAAATCTGATACATATTGACGTTTGACTGACATTAGTACTTCGGAAAACAATATCATATAATTTATTCTGAAAGCGAAAGCAGATAGACCTGATCTACGATGTTTCGGAATCTGACGAAGATGTGAATATGATGGCTTCACATACAATCGTAAGCAAATTTCTAAAAATTTAATTTTGAAATTGTTTTCCGTCTACAAGGAAACTCAATGCTACAATTAATTCTGCACATAATCTGTACGTCTGGGCCGCTTCAGATGCAGGTTTCATTCCATTGTTTGTGTTATTCTGTCGAATAAGCGAAAAAGGAAAGACTCCACGACACCAAGTGAAAGCTCTCACTGCTTTCAGAAAATTGAATTTAAAAAAATCGGTAAAAGCTTTACAGTGGGCTCCAACTATTAAATGTACCTCGCTTCCCTTAACACACTCATTTATATAACGTCCTTTCAAAATAAAGTGCTACACGCTAAATGGTCGAAGCAGTGGTCCGATCCGAACCGTTTTTAAAATCGTTCGTCATTGGGCCAAAACATGTCAATGTATCAAATTTCATCAAAATGTCTCAAAAATGGCGAAGGCTTGACTAGATGAGCAGACGGATAGATGCGCTTAGTCCTCAATAAAAGATGCGTCCATTTAACGTCCTTGTAGGTATTGTACACATTTGCGTGATCTTAATATATCAAGTGTGGTGGTGTATAAAAATCAAATCCGCAACTCTCGGTTAACCTCGACGACCTTTCCGAATATTGATTGACTTACATCAGCATGAAGATTGTCATACACTAAAAAATCGGTCCGTCTTCTTTACGCATTGTTTTTTTTTTTTTTAAGTTTTAATTAATCTCAACAGCTTAACGTGAGAGTATCTAAGAAGCATACCAGTCCTGATGACCGTGGACGAGTATTTGGAACAAAGTACGCTTTGCTTCTGCAAATTTTCGTTTCGCTCCATAAATGCAAATTTTTAGTTCAAATCGACAATCTAGTAAACATTTTCTACTAAGTTATTTGTAAGATTACACATTGACGTAATGCGGACTTCTAAACGTTGAAAACAAATCGTCCGCTTCCTGTAATGGTAGAGTAAAAACTGTGTTTCACCATATTTGAATCTAAGTATTCGTGTACTGTAGTCTCTGCAATTTTCAATCAGGCCCCCATTACGAGACCAAGATGTTTTCATAAGTAAAATTTGTTTTACTTCTGCAAGATACAAATTTTGAAAAGCGAGTGCTGGGACGAAAGACATGTGCTATCTATTGTCTAGATCTCAGGTCTGATCTGTGTATATAAATGTTATCATAAACAAACGATACACCAATTCCCTCATTCACTAATTCCGTTTGTGACATTTAAAAACACTGTTCAGGTCCATTTTTCTTATTCCATTGGTGGAACATAAATTGTGTATCGAAAGAAAAACGTATCCTATGGGAAAATAAACTATTGAAACAAATATTGAGGAGAAGGAACAATATCTAGTAAATGCACGTCAGCCTAGTACTGGACGGGCTTGGGAATATGCGGAGGAGCATTGTGCCAATTGCATGTAATATCTTAATGTTTTAATCGCATCAGTTGATGTTCATTAGTTAACGCTTCCCATTGATTGTATTGTTTGAGTGAGCCAGTTCCTTTTATCCATTCAAATGCCGTTGATCGTCTGTCGCGATTAGAGAGATCGTTTTCTAGAATTAAACCGAGAAAAGTAACGTTCCACTTATATTAGTTTTCCAGTAATTGCGGAACACTGTAGTTAGGATTTGCAGACATCAGTGCCTGTCCATTGGCGATCAAATTTTCTTTGTTCATTTCCTTCCAGGCGCTTTGAAACTCACTTTTTACAGTCATTTTTATTGTAAAATGCATAGCGGTTGTCTATCCCACAACCAAGGCATCATTACATCGGTTTTGGATCTCACAACGAAGACATCATTCAATAGATTTTGGACCACATTCGCGAGTTGCTCTTAAAGCGTAAAGGGCTCTCATCAACTACGCTATCTGTCCGGATCGTGTGTTCGCATCCCCTGCTTGACTAGGATATTAAGGTTGTTATATGTATATTTTTCAGCTTGAGCCGACATTCGTAGATGCTAGTGCTCAAGCAAATTCAAGCAATAACAGCAACAATAGTTTAGTTCAGCTTGCCCTAACACATTGTTGTTGGTCCGTTTTTCATAGGGAGAGTCATGGCGACCTTTTTGGTCTTCAATAGCAGGCAATTATTCTACTGAATTGTTAGTAGGAAGTATATGGCAGCAATAGGAAATATTTACAGCAGACCGTAGAGGAAAGCAATTGAGTCATGTATTGAGAATATTTTTTTATACATTAGAAGAAGAAAAATATATATGAATTTTTTCTTACATAAGCAACTTTCATATATGCTTAAACATTGATCGTTATGTGAATTGCCTAGTTAGGCGATCTCTGTGACGGCAGCTTTCAAGGAACACAGTTTTTTTAATTTAGCATTGAAAAATTGCCTGTTGAAGAATTTAATGGTGGGAGATCTTATTATTGAACTGAGCTGAAATCCATTTTGCAAATATGTGCAAGCGTATATCAGGCAAGTCGCCTAAGTCCGGGCAATTTATATATTTATGTTGTCATTGCTCTCCTCATAGAGTGTGTTATATGATTTTTCGTAAATATAAGAGACGCAGCAGACATGAAGGCATGTGCTTTCAATTTCAATTTAATAAAACCTCTTGAGAGAGTAGTAATGCGAAGTTTGTGCTTCTGTTTTTCACAAATTGATCCACTCAAGCGCTAAATAAAGTTAATTAAATTGAGAAACCCCTACATGAAATGCTGTAAAAACCCGTTACTTAGTCAAAGCGAAAGCTAAAGAAAACCAAACTCAGGGCGATAAATAGGTCTCTTGAAGTGGAAAATCGTAGAGCGTACGTTGTTTATTTGTAAGTTGGTTAAGCTCGAACAAAGCATTAAAAAACGGAAGTAACACATTTATGTGACACTTCAACAGTTGGAAATCATTTCTTAAATTATGTAAGCATGAATCCATGATGGTGAGCGAAGTCGATTATCATTAAAACATAAGGCAGCTCAGTTGCATTCAAGTGTGAAAAAGACAATGAAACGCAATAAATAAAATATTTTGCGGGTTTTTGGAGGAAGTAATTGTAATATAAGTATGTGCGCCATATTTAATTCTTGCATTTGCCCAAGAAAACAATACACGATCGTATTAAATCTATAAAATTATGTATGCATGTATGTAAATTTCATAAAGAGGTGTGTTTATATAAAACAGCCCAGGATAAGGTTGAATGTTTTGTTTAAATGCATTCAAGTGTATTTAAAGCGATCGAATTGTATTATAACGTACCAAGCACGGGTTAAGGCATTCTATTGCTGCCCGCAGAGTGTATTGAAAATCTTGGGCAGAAAGGGGTTTTTATGGATTTGTGTTTGTCAAAGCAAAACAATCCAATTATTTATTGAAATTTACTGAAAGATTGTTTAATACACACGTGTTTTGTTTAAATAAAAATAAACCGCAATAGGCGTAAGCTTTTGAAAAGTCCTGTTTGTTGTTGCTTGTCTTATACTAGCTTCAATGGTATCCAGCCGACGAAAAGTTTTGAGGCGTGTCAGTAAGAAGAATTAATATTTTTATTTAAACCGTACACAGTTCATTGATTACGAATCCTTGACAATTATTCGCCATGGAGTGTAAACAATTGATTTTGATTAAAGAAAATTTTGCTTTTTTCAGAGTCCTCGTGGCATGCAACCGTGCAGTCCCTTGGGCATTATTGCAATAACTATGCCACCTTCGAAGAGCCCTATTGTGGAAACTGCTACTAATCACAAGATGTCTCTTGAAATTTTTGCCGATAGCAACGCGTCAACGCCGGTCGATTCCAAAACACCGAATATTAAACATGTCTCAGCTACCACCTCCACGCCTCTAAGTACTCGGAATTGCCCTTTAAAATTTTCAATAGCAAAAATTATGGAGCCCGACCAACGTTCGAATGGGGCAACGATCGACTCAGAACGTTCGTGCAGCCCCATTGAAGTTACGAGTGATGATTCTGAGGCTTTAACTCTAGTTAACTCCGAAAATTACGATTCGGCGTTTAAGAAATATGTTCCGTCTTCGTCAACCGCCGCAGTTCAGCAATTTGTGTCCGCACGACATCAAGAACTGTTAACGCAATATCCCTTGCTCTATTATGCAGCACCCAATCAACTTATGTGCGCTGCGGCTGCGGCCCAATATGCAGCCTTGACGGCACAACAACAAAATCTGTTAACGGATACAAACGCCACTGTAACCCATTTAAATAACTTTACTGCTTCGCTAAGCTCTTTGCATCATCAAACACTAAGGCGTCAATTGATTACACCTTCCGCTTCTACTCACCATTTGGCGGCAGCAGCTGCCGCAGCAGCTCAGGCTGTGCATCATCAAACTATGATCAATAGCCACTCTCAGCTGCATCATGTCTTAGAAAAGACTCCCGCTAGCCACAAGGCAAGAGATTCTGTGAACACTTCTGCCTATCATCAGCACCCACGTAAGACTTCTTCTCCTCCCACCCATCCAGCAACAACAGCTACTACTATTAATCCTGATCCAAGTACGCCTCCTGACGCCCAAAGGCATCGACCCGATTCTCCCAGCTCATTGGATGATAGTCCGATTGTTAGTGGAGGCAAGCAGAAAACGTTTTCATGTCTAGAATGTGGTAAGGTCTTCAACGCCCATTACAATCTGACCCGTCATATGCCAGTACACACGGGAGCCCGTCCGTTTGTGTGCAAAGTATGCGGCAAAGGATTTAGGCAAGCATCAACTCTGTGTCGACATAAAATCATTCATACGTCTGAGAAGCCGCACAAATGTCAAACTTGCGGTAAAGCTTTCAATCGGTCTTCTACTCTAAACACGCATACTCGTATTCATGCCGGTTATAAACCCTTCGTATGCGAGTATTGCGGTAAAGGTTTTCATCAAAAGGGCAACTACAAGAACCATAAACTTACTCACAGCGGAGAGAAGGCATACAAATGCAGCATTTGCAATAAAGCATTTCATCAGATCTATAATTTAACTTTTCACATGCACACTCACAATGACAAGAAACCATACACATGTCGAGTTTGCGCAAAAGGATTCTGCCGTAATTTCGATTTGAAGAAACATATGCGTAAGTTGCATGATTTAGGTAGCATTAGCATTGACGAAGAAGTCTCTAGCGCGCACATGGAAGCACGTCGGGAATACAACAGACATGAATCCTCCGTAGAATACCGTAGCGCCAGTCTAATCAATTCGAATTCGTCCGATTCATCATCACCGCCTATCAATGTCACTACTCCCCCATTGTCAAGCAACGAAGGAAGTAGCTCAGCATGGCCTACCTCTACGCAATACCCAATTTTAAGTTCCGCTAACAACACCAGGCTATATAATCATACCGGTCACTTACCCAACAATTACAGAGTGGCTTCTGAGTATGGAAATGGCTCGACGTTCATAAATTTTACTCAAACGTCTACGTCCGGAATTCATCTCAGTACCGCCCCACCGACGACACATCATCTTGCTTTGCAGCAACAACAAAGGCTATCAACCGCTGCGGCAGCCGTGTCAGTAATGGATAATGTTCCCTTCATAGCTAAAGTATTTTGACAGAGGTACTATGCCGATTCTCTGGCTAATAGCAATCGTGCGTTGCATGGCCCGCCTACGAATGCCGCAAGTTCATCAGCGTCAATGACCGCAAAAAGTATTTTAATAGACTGACTGCAATTTGTGGCAGCTGCAGCTGCAGCGTCCTTACCAGAGCGTATACCAACGATAGAAATGCATTCGGAATACGGATTAGGCGCAGTAAACCAACGTGTATTTATTGTGGATCGAGAAGAAGAACAAGCGAACAGTAAAAGATCATTAGTTGCTAGTGGAAATTTGGGAAATTCTGTTCGAACATTACATGACTTTTTCTGAGGCTTCAATAAATAATGAAATAATGCTGGCTACCCATTTACCTACTCATCCTAGACACAATAACGTTAACATGCAAATATGACTGACAAAACGAAAAGAGATCGATAACAACATTTGCAAATTCACCAGCGTTTAAAGTAGTCAACCCAAGATCCTGCAGGTACGCTTTCCTTGAATGAAAGACTTAAATACTTTTATATAAGGCTTGAGATTCGAACCACATGCCATAATAAACATCGCATGTGGTTAGCTAGATAGATAGATTTTATCTTTGCAATGTCCTATAAATACTCCAAGCCGAGAATAGGGCTTCTAAAGAACCAGCTAACAATATTTAGATTCAGTAGAACGCTACGTGCCGAAGAGCGGATGTCTTTTGGTATGAAGAAAATGTAGTGTTTAGATCCATTTCTAACTATTGGAACAAAGCTCGCTCATTCGACAAAGCCAGATACCGCGACATTTTTAAATCGAATTTGAATTCTTTTGAATTATATTAGACGCTCTTATTCGCACATAAATTGTCCATTCGGACTTATTACTACCGCTACTACTATCTTCAAAATTTGCCTACAATCTCTCTCTCGTTATAGTGTAGATTAAAAACTTTTATTTATTATATTTTTCGAATAATCAGCCAAGTTGGAAATAAATATAAGGATAGGATGTTCGTCAGAAAAGATTATAGGTAAGGGGAAGGAAAAAAAATAATGAGTGAATAATGTTGACATGAGTGCGGCTTACATGTTTTATATCTCCACAAGCTAGTTATGCCAGAGTCTCTCTCTCTCGCGATTAAGGAATAAACAGCTTCAATAAAGTGTGATACCTTGTCCGTGTAACTCTACGATAAAGAGGGAGAAAGAGATGGGGAAATCCAGTAGCATTTCTAAATAGGAATTCCTGTACGTACATATGGCGCATGTCATGTGGATATTCAAAAAAGTTGCAATCGCTGGACATAATTGCTTCTTTCGTGAGCCTCTGTACGCGGTGGAGAACCCTACCCACATTATACGCTTATCTTGGCTCAATAGAGGTAGGGCTAGAATGAGGTCTTTCGACACTTTGCGTTCTATTACAGTCCACGGCACTGCTCTCGGATCGGTAACAATAGGATATAGAAAAATGCGAACAAAGTATTTTTTACTACAACTTGCACGCGCAATTTTCGTATGAAAATTTCAAAAATTTCTGAACTTTCGCTTAGGGTTTTCATCTAACAGCGAAGGTTGGCTTTTTACCGCTGGAAAAAAATGTTAAGCACGAGAATCTTTGCTAGTTGTCTAACTCTTACGGGAAACTAAAAATTTCTTTGTAATTTTATAAGAAAAATGCAATATATGATGGAAGAGAGTGTTTGATAGGCATGCTTTCCGTGTTTGTATGTGTACGTGTGTGCGTGTGCGTGTGTGTGTGTGTGTGTGTGCATGTGTGGAGATTTTATGGCGTTTATAGAGTGAAGCGCATGTTGCTATATATATTTACAAATTTTTTTGTTAAACTTTCTTCTAACTTTATGTATAAAATTCGTGAAATAAATAAATGCTAAATGCTTGTTTTAAATACACACACATATTTATTGAATATTTATATGTAAATTCCTTCACTCTTGTGTCATATATATACATATATATATAATATTTGTAAATAACAATACTAGTCTAGTTAGTTATAAATGTTATATCCCGATGCAACTCAAATAGGTAAAACTTATAAGTAAAATTCTTTTTGCAAACTTTGTATCATAGTTACTAAGAGTTAATAAAGAATTTCCCAAATGCTATATATATTCACGTTTAGGGTTATACGTCAAATAATTGTGAATTTTTTGTGCATATTAAAAATATTTGAAGAAAAATCTCTAAGAGAAAGGAAAGGTCTCTATTTTAGGAAGAAAATAATCATGATCACAATTAGCCAGAATCTAATAAAATTATATATATAAAAAAAAAAAAAAAAAAAAATATTTTTATTAGTTTTTCATTTAAAGAAAAGATGAAAAATAAGCGATATCTGCTCATAATCTCCCCACTTTACAGGCAAAAGCAGCAAAAGCAAGAGCGAGTAGCGTGCAACTGCACATGGATATGAGTGCTACTCCTAAATTTCTATTTTTCTTTTAAGAAAGTGTGGATAAAATAGATTTATTTACTTTAATTCATTCATTTCGGGTAGCAATACATACATATTGAGCTGAATTGAGAAAACGTAATTAAAATTTAAGGCTTAGATTACGACGCGATAGAGAAAAAGCATCAAGCAAAAGCATGGCAAAGTTCATAGCTCTGCTCAACGTTTTTATACCCATCACCGACGGATGAGGAGTATATTCATTTTGCCGAAACGAGAAGGAAGCATCAAGACCCCACAAAGTATATATATTCTTGATCAGCATCAAATTCTAAGCAAGTTCGTTGTTGTTGCAGGTTGATATTGAAAATGGGCCACAGCATCACATAAACTGAGAAAACCTCTGTTATGCAAAGGAAATGACAAATTGGGTTTTTGCTCATTACTGATAAACTATAGCAAATAAATGTACAAAAATTTGCTGGAAAAATGCTGAAGCATTTGTGCATGCAAATGGAAAATATTAACCACGCCTATCCAGTATTATAGTGTATCAAAATTTAATTATTTGTTCAATATCGTTACAACGCAAAAAACCCCATAAAGTATGAATGCACCTAAAAATGTCTGCCTGTTCGTCTGTCCGTCTGTCTGTTTGCGTAACTTTGTAGTATTTGTGGCAAACATTTTCTCGTTAGCGAAAATGAATAAATTTACTAAAGAATTTGGAACTGATCTAAACTTTTCAAAGAACACGCTTGCAACGCCCACATGCCTCTACCACAAAAAGTTTTATTTTGAAAATCGAAGAAATCAACTGCTCCAGCTCCATATTATTAAGATTCGAAATTTACCTTTTTCATGTGTTAGGCTTAAAGTGGTAATAGGCGAACTTAAGTCTACGGTTTAAACCATGACATTATAGCGAGGAATACCAATCAGAGGCAAACAGCGAATTTGAAATATATTTTAGGCATTAATAAAAGAACATAAGTCTAAGCAACTATGCATATATAGCTATCCACAAAGTATGGTCTACCGCACTGAGATTCGAGGTCGCAAGCAGCGACTTGGCAGTCGCGAGTTTTGTGCACTCAGCTATGCGATAGCTGAGCTGAGGATTGTGAATGGAAGTGTTCGTGTTTATGTGCACAAATTTCAAATTTGCAAGAATTTTGTTATTTATGCATTTGTTTATTTTTCCAATTTACTGGCTGAGATTTCAGCTGATTTAGGCCATTGGATACGACGATATCTATTACGTACTTATATATATACGACAAAGGTTAGCTATCAGAATGAAGTGAAGTGAACTGGAAATAAAATATTCAAAGAGAGTTGCTCTCGACCGGGTTACAAAGGTTCTTATGAACCAAAAATCAAACTTGATTCTAAACCGTCTGTGAATATGCTACGGACGTTTCATTTTACACGTTTAATACTTGAATCCAATGTTCAGCAAAAGTAGCTTTTCACCTTTTTCCGAACGTTATAGTATTTTGATTATTAACCTAGCGAAGCCTCAACCGAATGTGTATGCGGCTACCAAGTCCAATACTTTTGTGTTAAGTTCGATAATTCGACAAAATTTATTTCATTCAAATCGACTGAACTGATCGTTCTGGCACATTACATATATATATATAACATATGAAAATAATGTGTATGTGTATCTGCGGCTGCCTGATGATTAGTAGAAAAGAATATCCGCGTCAACTACTATAGCTTTTGTCCTTTTTTTGCCATTTTTTTTTTTTTTTTTTTTTTTTTTTTTTTAAGCTTAGAATAATACAATCAAACATTATTCCGTATTATCCAGAAATTGTTGGCTTAAGCACTTGGCTGATGTTAATTAATTAAAATACTTCGAACATACGACCCTAATATCTTCAAATGATAACAAATTTATTTGTTACCTTAACCTAAGCACATATAAAGTCAATGAAAAGCGCTTAACTTGAAATTCAATTTGCAAATAGGATGCTTGACAGCATTTTTCATTTTATTTTTTTTTTTTATTGAAACTTCGTTTTCTGTGGCGACAGTACTCAACTGGTCACTAAAGCATAAATCCTAAGTAAACATCAAAGCTCTTTTTTTCAAAAAGATAAATGAAGAAAAAAAAATATATATATGTATATAAACGTATACATATATATATATATAGCGGTAAGGAATGCGAGGAATGGATGTCATCCGAGTTCTTATGTTTATGTGCTTACATCAGAAAAAGAAAAAAGGAAGAGACAACGACGAGTATGAAACAAAGCATTGAAAGTGTTTATAAGCGAAATTGTTCACTTGAACTATTAGATAATAATGAGATGATTCAACTGACGGCAGCAAGTGTTTGCGAGAACAGCAGACAAACGTAGGGCGTAGCAGCGAGTTGATTTTATGTGCGTTCATCAAAAATAAATATTAATGTTGTTAGAGTTCATTATTTTAATGCATAGATTTGAAGTTTGATATGATTGTAATGTTATGACGTAGTCTTCTCAGCATGACAATCAAATGCGATAAGAACATTAACGCATCTGCGGATAAGTTGCGGACAGAGTTAGTCAGGGACATCAAAGTGAGAGACCACAGTGTTGAAAGTCAATTTTGAAGGCGTTTCTAAGACTGGCAAACAACATTCAATACCAGTCAATAAAGTATATGTGAAATGTTTAAGAAAAGCAAAAAGGGGTTGCATTTATTTTCAATGGAAAAGGGGATGAAACGTGCTCTACACTTTCCTGTGGGTGGTAAGCTCTCGACATATGCTTTTCAACAATTTATGTTAATTTACTAACCTTAAAGGCCTTGTTCATATGACAGCACTTGCTTTGACAAATTTCTGACAGATTTCCACTTCAAAACTTTTGGAAGTTGTTCTTCAACTCCAGCATTTAGCTGCATTCAATACAGACTAATTCGAATTGTCAAAGTCCACTACTAGTAGCTCTAGATTGTAACGCTTTTCCCCGCAAATCATTCAATATTTTTAAGTTTTTCACGAAAAACACACACGCAGGCGAAAACGTACTAACTCACCTCAACTTTCTTTGTGTAAAGGAAAACAATGCAAATGATATGGCGAACATGGTTACTGCATGCCAGGGCTATATGAACATGAACAAATTATTATTAGAAATGTTATTTCATCATCTCTGCTGAAAGCTTGATGATTTGCATACCATACCGCTTCTTAAATATATTCAATAGCGTGCAAGTTTTAACATTAATTAGGAGTGTACTGCGAGCTGTCAAACATCAAACGAATTCCATCGAATCGTGATATTCAATGACATCTTTTAATTATTTGCGCAGCCTTTATTGTTTTGTTTTGTTCTTTCTTTTCATTTATTTGCAATTGACTATATGTAAATCTTATAACTTTTCATTTTTATACCTTAGACCACTTGTGCTACTTGGGTACATAAAGTTGGATACATAAGATGTATGCAACACTTAGTACGACTTGAAATAAGCATATCTCTTATTACACTGATCGATACAGAAGCACGTTTTGAACCAAAGACGAAAGATATTGAAAATGGTTTCGACAGTTCGATCAGGTCTCATATAACAACTGATTTCGAAATAATCAAGAACACGTGTAAGATGATGTAGCGCATTTAATGGTGGGCCGTGCCCTACTATAACGTTCTTAATTGTTTTCATCTTAAGTGCGCAAATACTTTTGCTCCTATATTTGTATATTATATTTTATTAATGGTATTACGTTTTCATTCGCATGTACCAATATCAAGAAATCTAAGCCATATGAAGCCATAACTAACATAAATGCAAAACCTACTTTTTTTTAAGATGAAAGCACTTTATAAGGCATTCAAGAATAGTCAAGCAGTCATAATATTATTTCATTATGTAAACACGTCGATCATTGTACGTTTAGATCATACGGTGGGCTGTCATCCTGCTTAAAGTGAAGCGAAAGCAACCAGAGAAAGCCTCTTATTTCCTATTTCAAACTGGATCCCATCTTTACATTATGCTTAGTCTCTACAAAAAAGCATATTTTTAGCCAAATACCATTGGCTGATGATCAAAAAATAATATATTTTGAAGGCGTTATGTTGAATCATAACCTATAATTTCGTAACTCATGAGCAGGTATTTTTTGAATCGTCTTACACACAATTCCGTAGCGAAAGCCCGACAGATCGCATTAAAACTGTTTTGTCAGGCGTAGTTGCAATCAAGTAAAATTTGGAGTTTATTCCATGACTATTGGACTAAATCGACTAAACGATGTGCTTGGGTTTCTTATTTCAAACAAACCCAAAAATGTTTGCACTGTATGGGAAAAGAATGCAGTAAACACACCTTTCGTTGCAGATAATTGAGTTCACAGTTGGAAGTGATAATTCTCTTAGATCCGATTCTAATGTCTACTTAGATGTTGTCCTGCTTCCCACGTAAGTATGCAATAATTTGTTCGTTTATCTATTTTCATC